TATATATATATATATATATATGTATACTTTTGACTTCTTGGTTTTTTTCTTTTTCTTTTACAAAGTACTACTGCTGATTTATAACTATTCCAAAAAAAAATTGTCCGGACATCTGCTGAAAAGGAAATATAGAGACCGGGCATCTTGAAACTTTAACTGAATACCCCTGCTGTAGAGCATTGTGCGATAGCAATGCCAAGATCATGGGTTCAGTTCCTAGGGAATGCATGAACTGATAACACGCACCTTCAAAGCAATGTTAAAAGAGTCCGCCAAATGTATCATTATATCTATTGAAATGGATTGTATGTCAGCTGAAGCACTTTTGGATAAAAACAGATGATATATGTCAGATATAGACAACATTAAAGACATTTGGCGAGGTGTTGTGGGGAAAGTTTCTGCGACTGATGTCTTTTTTTTGCTGTAAGATGTGGTATGAATGTAACGTAAAACTGACAGCCTCACTTGCGTGGTTTGATCTTAAAAACCACTGAAACCTGTTTTTTTCCCTCTCCGGTTGTGATGGCTTGATCTTTTCATGTAGAGCTTCCTGAAAATCCGGTGTCAAATTGGAGGCATTGTGTATAATTAAAACAACACTTTTTTCAAGTATGTTTTAACACCCACTCAGCTTAAAAACATAATAGTATAGTGCACTCCAATACAAAAAAAAAGTACTGTGGTAGTACCATGGTTAAGAGATGATCAGGTGGTAAACAAAACATGTTAGTACCACAATAATTTTTGATGCTAAAAGTGCACAGATGCATAAAAAGAAAGAAAATGTTTGGTGTGTAGAGATTTGTGTTTGTGAAATCTCTACACGCTCACTTTCCCCGTCCCCCCATTTTTATCTGTTTATCTTTCAGTAAACACCACAACTCATATTGGATCAGATTTAAAACAACAACAAAAAAAATTCACTATCACCACAGACTGTTTTTTTCTATCTCGATAGTTGTTGAACCACAGGCTGTTTATACCTCTGTTTCTGTGGTTTGTACGACTCCGAATCCAGGACTGATTCACGTGTTTGCGGCACACGACGAGTGCACAAATACTATAGGGTGAAAATTTTAGGTTCTCTGTATGACAAGTGGTTGCTAAAATGTTTCACAATGATGACAACTGTCATTTGCACTGATTCTTGTTAAGAATTCAGTTCATTTTAGTAAATTGTGGTACTTGTGTATATATTATGTAAGATCGATGCTCCGTTGCATCATATTTTCCTCTATTTTCTGTCTTCCTGCAAACAGACAACTGCGTAACACCTCCAGTGTAGATGAAATGAGCGGCACATCAGCTTTTTAAATCATAAAGTTGTTTTTTTGTTTGTTTTATTATAATACTCAACATTGGGGTTTTTTCCTTAACCAAAAATAAAAGATTTTTATTTATTCTGTCTTTATTCTATTTATTCTTTTAATATTTTAAGCCTGGTTTTTTTTTAATACCGTTTAGAATTTTAAGTTCACAATATAAACAATATGTATCACAAGTTATGAACAGAACTGGGCATAATCCAATCCATATTCTGGAATATTAAGTTTAAGGGTTTATTTGATAATATGAACAAGTCTTTAAATAGGCAACAATAATAATTAGAACTTAATGAAATCTCAGTCACATTTTGTTGTGCCATTGACTTTTTGGCCAAAAAGATTAATTATTGATCATTTAAACATATCACATTGCATATTGCTTAAGTATGGATTAAAATCACTGTATGTTTATGTAATATGTATTTTAAAATAAGTATCTGCCATTCTGACATAATTCCTTTGTTGGGGAAAGAAAGGTGAGACACAAAATCAAACTTAACATTTGATCAGTTTTGTTATTTTATTTCATAGATTTTATTTGATTTTCACAGGAATATTCCAGGTTAAATATAATACTGTTTTCAGAAAATAATTTGTGAAAGATTTGAACAGTTATTAACAACGAACAAAAAAAAAGATTTGAATATTTTTGCACTTATAACAGGCATTTTTCATTCTGTGCATTTCTGTACATGTTTTTTGTATAATTTAGATACAACATGAGTTTCTGTGGTAATGGACAGGATGTCACGCATGCGGTCGAAGTATCTTGTTTTCTGTTGTTTTGAGAGTATTGTACATGGAGTATTTCTTCATTTTAATTCTTGATTTTTTTTATCCAAAGTGTCATACAGGTGAGGACTAGAATCACAAGCAGTCCGTCATAAGATTCAGCAATATTTGTTGTAAGTATTAGCTAGATTAGTGCATAAGCTATAGCAGAAGTGAAATGCAGAATAGAAAGAGAAAAGGTGTTGTTATTGATGTAATAATTAGCTAAATTAGTTGGCATGAAGGCTTATAAGCTCTTATTCAGATAGTGATGCTTTACAGTAACTTGGTTGAGTATATTTAACATTAGTTCATGCTTTAGGTATCATGAACTAACAATAAACTACTTTTTACAGCACTTATAATCTTAATGTCAGTTCATACTAAACTTCGGGACATCTACTAAAAACTATCTATAACCAATCTATTAGTATGAAGATATTTTTCTTTGTTACTTTATGGGAACTGTTGTGTTAACCAATGGTAATATATATATATATATATATATATACATACATTATATATATACATATATATCACCATGTTTAAAAGTGATACATAATAATGTCAATATAATGGTAATGTGATGCCACTTTTCCACTGTAAGTAGCTGTAAAAAGCATGATTTGGTTTATTTTGGGTGTTACTGGTCAAGTTACAAAGTGCTTTGAATGTAGGTTGTAGTTTCTACCCACACATATGCACACACATGCACACACTTAACACCTACCTAAGACCCCTCAAACACTCTGTCTTTGCGGTTTTGCGATTCGAGGCTGTTTTCTTGTTTTGCTTGAGTGTCAATCCCTCCCCCTTCCCTTCACCGAGACAACTGACCTTTACCAGATAAGCGCATTATGCGTCTCGTCGGCCCACCTCACACTTTGAGTTCCTGTTCTTGATACAGCATCAAATGCTGATTGTTCTTAGTAAGTTTTGAGTTTTTTAAACTCTGTGTTCTCACCTGAATCATCTTGCATCATAGTGCAAGACTGTTAACTGTAAGATACCAAACTGTTCACAAAAAGAAACCCTGAGGCTGTGCATGTAGCTGTGGGCATGTAAGTGAGGCTGAATTGTTGGGCAATTATTAGTGTTCATTCTACTTTTTTCTTTCATGATGCAAAAATATAAAAAAATTACCTAATGTGGATTAGGATGCCATCACATATCTTCTATTTAAGCTAAATCTGCAGAGATCACCCGTACCTTAAAGAAATATTTCACCCAAAAATGAAAATGTACTCACTCTCAGGTCAGCTAAGATGTAGGTGACCAGATTTGAAGACATTACATCACTTGTTCACCAATGGATCATCTGCAGTGAATGGGTGCCGTCAGAATGAGAGTCCAAACAGCTGATAAAAACATCACAATAATCTGTAAGTAATCACTCCAGTGAAGGGAAAAATTGTGTTTGTAATAAACAAATACATCAAAATGTTTTAACTTGAAACGGTTGCTTCTGGCTAAAATACAAATCTTCCATCCATAATACTGCTTTCTTCAGTGAAAAAGTCTGAATCAGGAGAGAAATATGATCAGATCAAGCCCTGTTTATAAGTCCAAACAGTTCTAAACAAATATGTTGGTGCATTTTGAGATGAGAGGACAACAGGTGATTTCTCTGGAGGTAGTGTTATTCTGGATTATAGACTCGTATTTTGGCTAAAATCATAAGATTTATTTATTTATTTGTGAACATCCCCAAAATCTTGCTTACAGTGTGCAAACCCCTTGAATCCACTTGAAACCTTGTTTGATACAATGTGCAAACATCATTGACTTGTGGTATTCTAATATTGGACAAATTTTGCCGCATCCATTAGCAAATTTGTTCATGCACACATGAAGTGTTGCTAAGTTTCTAAATAAATATTTTATACATTCTAAATGACATGCATACTTATAAAAACACAGATGCTTTTCACTCTTTTCATTTTTTCTATATCATTTTGGATATCCTTACACTTCAGCAGAGCCCTTTTGTCAGTGCATGTGGATTCTTGCATGCATGCATGTTTATGTGTATGTGTATGTGTGTGTGTAGTCTGTGGGTAAAAAAAGCTCGTACGAAACAGGATGTGGTCCTCATCAAACTTTTGTGCTCTGAGCACCACTCAGACACCGTGTTGAGCCCAGCTTGGGGCCCAGGTGGTTAATATTTACTCATCAGAATCCAAGAAATTCAGTCTTTCCAGGCCTTCCCAATAACTTGTAACAATCTACGCTTGCTCTAAAATCAAACTTCAGACTGTCACAAAACTATGCATACTCAAAGACAGAACAATACAACATACATAAATAAAAATAAAGAAGAATAACACTTGCATCAACGTTTCGAGCCCATCTTATTTCTCTTCTGGCCCTTTGGCCTTTTGATTTAATGTTTCATTCTTTGTAAACTTGTCAGCAGACTCTGTGGTTACTCAGTCATATAACGAGAAGAGAGGAAGAAAATGCAATTGTCAAAAGAGAGAGAGAGAGAGAGAGTTCAGATGAGTAACAGAAAGGAAGGAGTAGAGTGTTAGAGAAAGAGATCCTTCTGACAGATGGAGGTAGAAGGGGAGGGGCAGAGAGAGCGAGAGCGGTAAAGGGAGGAGGATGAAGGGTTGGGGGTCAGGTAGACAGAGAGACAGACCTCAGCATCCATGGTGCCTGCGCAGACAGCTGTTTAACACACAGCTGCAAGTGAAGGGTAAGTCTTATACTTCCAATATTAAATAACTGCTGGGCTGAGCAATGATGTATTGTGTCTGATAAGAGCTGACCTATTCTGACGTAAAAAAAAATATTACGTAATGTCATGTACACTGACCCTAAAATGGGTTTGAACACTTAAGCCGCTATAAAAAATGAATGCCATTGCATGTCAAACCAAGCAGCATTTATTTCAAATAAACATTTCACAAGAAGGAATTTGTTAGGTTTTAAATGATAAATCAATAGATATACCGTTGAAGACTCAATGTGTTGTGACATTTTGTTGTTCTAAATCATTCTGGAACAAGATGAGAACCGACTTCATCTGCTAAAAATCACCCTGCTGCTTAAAAGTAATCGCAAAATGACTCAAGAAGTGAGTAGAAAGGTAGTTCTGAGAAATATTCTAGCATCATTTATTCCTAAATGCCACTTTTACCCAGATATTTTGTTGTCTAATGCAACAACCTACATTTTAAAGAGTGACTTCAGGGTCTAGATACTTTCCGGTCACTGTATGGGTTGATTATTAGTCGTCAGTCGTTAGTAAATAAATGAGTGGTGAATACTCATTACGCTTTGATAAATAAACTTTTAACTGTGCACTTGGAATGTACAGGTTAGTTCGTATTAATCTTCAGGTGCTCTTAAGAATAACCCAAAAGCTAGGAAATGCTCAAGCGCTTGTGAAACCGAGAGTGTGAACCATATGTTTGCAGCGATCACTCAGATTAGGAGTTGAGGTTCAAACTTGTGTGTCAAATAAACCATATTCAAATTACTCATCGCTCACTTTTAAAAGTGTTAAAGTAAAACCGCACCGTCAGTGTTTGCTGTAGAGTGTCCTGTCACTGTTTGATATCTCTCATCGCTTTGGCCATTGGTATACATGTACGCATTTTTACAAGAAGTCACCTTACAGTTACAGCTAAGGGTTTCTGTTGTTGTCTGTGGGTGTCGTTTTGTAGTGTAAGTGGAAATTGCCTGTATACAGGTTGACCACCCACTCACAAAGAGGGGCGCGCTGCTGACAATGGCCCACTCAGCAAAAGAGCCAAAGGTAGCTTGCGTCATATACGCACATCTAAAACTCATCTTTAGTTGACATGAACTTAGAAAAGTTCATGTCAAGAATTTTGCAATGGAATTCAATATGCGTGCTCTGCAGTTTACCGTTTTCTTTGGGCAACATCCTGTCAAGTAGAAAGCCACAGCAATGCCATTTAAAAGTGAAAGTCTGAATTTTAAAAATTAAAGCTCCTCTGGCTGACTGGCTGATTGCATTTTTATGCAAAAATGCAACATAAACCAGTCAACGAATGTGTACAAACATTAAGAATCACTTGAAGGGAAATATAACCCTAAAATGAAATTGTTATAATTTACTCATCCTCGTGTCGTTCTAAACATTTTTCAACTTTTTGTCGTTCTAGTTCAAAACATCATCTTCCTCATGGGCAGCGCGCCGACATATAGCGCCATTACGTTTCGGGCGTCCCGAGTTTGAGTCCCGGCTTGCGGACCTTTCCTGATCCTTCTCTCTCCTACTTCCCTTCCTGTCTAATAACTGTCCTATCACAATAAAGCATAAATGCCAAAAATAAATATTTTTATGTTCTTTTATAATCTCTTACGTATGAGATTATAAAAGCCTGTTTAAGCCAGGAAATAAAAAAAAATTAAAAAGGTAACTGCAACATTTTATCTCACAATTCTGACTTTTTTTCTCACAATATGAATTTATATCTCACAATCAGTATTTTTTTTATTTTTTTTTGCAATTTTGTGAAAAATTCTGTTAGAATTGCGAGATATAAACTTGCAATCCTGAGAAGAAAAATCTGAATTCTGAGATTTTAAAAAAGTTGCAATTATAAAAAAAATGCGAGATGTAAACTCAGGAGTCAGAATTGTGAGATATAAACTTAGAGTTGTGAGGAAAATAGTCAGAATTTAGAGTTGCGCGAAACAAAGTCTGAATTGTGAAATATAAACCCAGAACTGCAAGGATTACCTTCGGAATAGGCTTCCATAGAGGGTGAATAAACAATCATTTTTATTCATTACAATCAAGACAGAATTTACATTAAACTAACATTAAAGGAACAGTTCATCCAAAAATGATAATTTAGTCTCATTTTTTCCAGACTTCGGAAGTTAATGGCTACCGTCAGCTGTTTGGTTACCAGCATTCTTCAAAATATCTTCTTTTGTGTTCATTAGAAAAAGAAACTCATACAGGTTTGGAACAACATGAGGGTGAGAAAATGAGGACAGAATTTTCATTTTTGGGTGAACTATCCCTTTAAACTTCAATGTTCAGCCAAATTGTAACAATAACGACAACTAGGCTACTGGCAGCCAATCGGAGTTAAAGCATTTCAAGCGTTAGGAGACATAGGCCTAAAAGCATGCGCTATACTAAATTGATAAAATATTATTCTTTCATTGCATAGATTGGATTGTTTTACCATCCCAGTTCAGTGTGACTAACTTAGTCTTCCTTCCCAGGAGCAATATGGTCTATTTTGTGCATTTCTATATGTGTCACTTTCAGCCACAGGTACATTTGCGGTCGCGCTCTTAGTCATATCTCCATAGCGACAGCTTGTGACCTCATAGCACTTTGCAACTGAGTTATTAACAGATCATCTGATTACCGTACTAGATATGATCATAGAAATTGATATTTAGACAATAGATTAAGACAACCACCGTCGTGCTGCATTGAAACCAAGTGTTAACCTCACGCTCTTGTAAATAAAGGTTCCAAAAGGGGATTTTCACAGTGAGTGATGCCATAGAAGCACCATTTGATTCCCTAAAGAATCTTTCACTGAACAGTTCTTAAAAGAGCAATTTAATCATCTAAAGAACATTTTTCCACTATAAAGAATCTTTTGTGCAGTAGGAAGGTTCCATGGATGTAAAAGGTTCTTCACAGAAGAATAGATGCCAAAGAACTTTTAAAGGGGTCATATGATGCGATTTCAAGTTTTCCTTTCTCTTTGGAGCGTTACAAGCTCTTGGTGCATAAAGAAGATCTGTAAAGTTGCAAAGACTAAAGTCTCAAATCCAAAGAGATATTCTTTATAAAAGTTAAGAGTCAACCACGCCTACCTAAAACGGCTCGTTCTAACA